GGGTGTTACCGGCATCTACTGGGTAGAGGCCAAGGACACTGCTAAACATCTAACAATGTACAAGATAGCCCCACAAAACAAAAAATTATCCAGCTTCAGATGTCAATAGTGCTGAGGTTGAGAAACCTGCTCTAGATTACCCAATAAGGAAGTCATAGATAAAATTGCAAAACCAATAGTTCTTTTTAAAGCTTATGAATATATTTTAAATTATAAGAACAATGTCTAATATTTAAATTCAGAGATAAAGAAAAATACATTATTTATCTTTACTTCCTCCACTGGATCCTATCCAGCACCTTGCAAATAATAGGCACTGACAAAGTACTTGGCATAAAAATGAGAAAACTGAGGTCTACTATGTAGTCAGCCATTGAATTACTTCTCAAAATTACATCTCAACAAGTTAAAAAGTATATTCTTCTCATCCTGGAAATGTTAGCCTAGCTCAATTTAGGGCAAATCCTGGAAGAGGTGAAACCAATACAAACGACCATGATCCACCCAACCACAATTATACTTTCATTCAAAACTCTTGAGAGTTGTCCTGTGAAACTCTTGACTCTAAAAGAACATTAGTGATCTAAAAATAATTTGAATACCTTCTGCTTGACAAGTAATGTATATTTATAGCTTCATTTGATTGCTACAATTGCCAAACAATAAAAATACTATTATTCTGATTTACCGATTTATAGGTAAGAAAACAGACCTGGAATGGTTAAAAAGGTAGGACAAGATCATATAGTTAGTGACTGACACACCCAGGATTTTATCTCCCCTCTTTGACTCCAAAACAGATACTCTTGCCATTAAACCTCCATGTTACTATAATACAAATAATGGCAAAATCACTAATGGATTGTAATTATCAGCATTAATTACCAGAATATAGTGAGTGAAATGACATCTATTACAAATTTAGGTGAAGTCTATACATTTAAAATAATAAAATTCATCCAAAGTGACAGATTAATAAGAGAAGCATCAAATTTGCTAATGCACCTATAAAACTGAAGATAAGAAAAAAACAGGGCCGGCCCGGTGGCACACTGGAGAGTGCACCGCTTGGGAGCATGGCGGCGCTCCCGCTGAGGGTTCGGATCTCATGTGAAGACTGGTTCCCGCTCACTGGCTGAGCGCGGTGTGGGCGCAACACCGAGGGTTGCGATCCCGTTACCGGTCAGTAAAAAAGACAAAAAGGAAAAAAAAAAAGAAAAAAACAGACTAGCCAACAGGACATAAGAGAAAAAAAAATTTAAAGTAGAGTGAACTATAAGTTTGCTGTGGATTGCCAATGGAATTTTATTACTTAAAGAGCAGGAAATAAATAAATAAATAGATGCTATGACATACTAGGGCCTGGAAGGAATCCTTCTGTAGTGATAATATTGCCTGGTGCTATCTATATACTGTTGATTAACATTTTAAAATTAGGTTACTTGATCCAAATCTACCTTGCACATCATTGAAAGGCTGTACACAAAATTGGAAAAGAAACATACAAGTAAAGACAATGAGACAGATATCTAAGTTGTAAAACACATTCTTCAAAGCTATTTAGCTGAAAGAAAGCAAAGGAATAATTATCTTTTAAAGGTTGGTTGATCCTCATCAGAATGACGTATTCATGTATACACAAGAAAAACATGTTCAAATGCCACCAATAAAACTTCTTTAACTATTAGGGAGAACTTACAGACATTAGTAACTACCAGGGATGGCTATGAATCACGTTAGATATCTTTAAAAGTAGCTTATTCCCAAATCAGGTTGACACTTTTTCCACAAATAATCAAAAATGTTACTCTAATGGGCCGGCCCGGTGGTGCACTGGATAGTGCGCCGCTTGGGAAGCGCGGCGGCGCTCCCGTCCGAGGGTTCGGATCCCACATACGGACCAGCTCCCGCTCACTGGCTGAGCGAGGCGCGGGAGCAACGCCGAGGCTTGCGATTCCGTTGCCGGTCCCCGGTCCAGTACGGGGGCAACACTGAGGGTTGCGATCCGTTGCCGGACACGGAAAAAAGACAAAAGACAAAAAAAAAATGTTACTCTAATGATAAACAGTCAAGATATGATGCAGCCTAATCTCTTCCCCATAATATCCCAGTCTCTCAACAGCTACAATTTCTCTTCAATGAATTCTACTGTTGGAGAATATCAAACAGGAAAAGATTATTTTATTCAGATTTCTTCCTCCAAAGCTGAATTAAGATGTGATTGTTCATAGGAAATACATGTTGGCAGATACCGTACTCTGTGAAACAAATTATTAGATGACAAAAAGGACTATCTCCAAGAGTGCCAACTAGGAGTTCAAGTTATGGTAGAATACAGATGTGAGTGATATATAGTTTCTTTCTATATCTGATAAATGTTTTCGTTTTCCTAAGTAGTATCACATAGGAGTTTAACTCATACATAGCTTTTTATTTATGTGATATTTTAATAAGTGGATGCTATAGAATCCTAAAACAAAGCATAAGCCCTTAGAAGGATTTACACATAAAAAGCTTTCAAGCATTGCACTGATGAATTTCTGTTTTGCTTTTTACGTTTTTATATGGTAAAAGTTAAGGCATGACTTCAGCAAAGGATAATAGAAGTACCTACCAGACAGAAGCTAAACCAAACCACCAAAGATAGCAAAACTATCCTTTTCTTATTTTGCAGTATCATGATACAGTCTGACAAATGAAAAATGACCAAACTAAAGGTTATCAAATGTACTTTAAGAAAGTATTATAGCTTAAGGAAAATAAAATTTCTATATACTCTATGATAACACTGGTTAATATCTATAGTTTCTCCTTATAGACCATTATATTTTAATAAACAAAATTTTCTTGGACTTTACCATTTGAATGAAGTGAGTATGAAATAAGACTCTAATCTGATTTTTTTTTAACTGCATATTCATTTTCCCAAAGCCTGTTTGTTGAATAACTTATCTCTTCCCCCTTGGATTGTGGTGCTTTTCATATTTTTATCATTTATTAGTTTTAATATACTATATTAGAATTCCACTGATCTGTCTGTCAAACTTTCAAATTTTCCTTTCTGGAGCACTTTGGTAATCTAAATTAAAGCTTAAAAGAATCCAAAGTACCACACTTTCAATTATTGCCATTTTATTAATATCTGGTCAGGGAAGTTTTTCCTCACTACCCTTAGCTATTCTTATTAGTGTTTTTCTTTCCAGATTAACTTTAGAAATAAAATATGCAAAGGGCCCAGTTGGGATTATGACTAGAATGTTATTAACCCCAAGAGATTATTTGGAAATAACATGCATCCTTACATTATTTAGTCTTCCTAATGAGGAACATAAAATGAACCTCCACTTAACATTTTACTTTATGTTACTCAGTAAAATTCTGTAGCTCTTCCTGTAGGCCCCTGTAATCATTTCTTGTTAATTATTTTTAAATCATATTTTCTGTTCTTAGTTCAGAATGGGAACTACTCAATTTATATTTTCTAAATAATTATTTTTAGTATAGTATAAAATAATTCTATATTAATCTGCCTTCCTCAATTCCCATATTGATTCCTGTTGATTACTATAAACAAGAAATGGACTATTCACCAAATGGAATAAGAAAATTGGTGATGGTGGTGGGGTGTTGCTATAAGGGATTCATGTTAGATACTCACCAATTTGGTGTATTTTGTCATATGCCATAATAAATTCCAGAAAGATTAAAAAATTGATACTTAAATGAATAATAAAAATGAGAAAATATACAATTAAATATTTAACTGATTTGGGGATAAATAGTTTCTAAGGATGAAAATAATGGGGAAAATCACCAAAAATAAAGAGGTTTAGTTATATTAAATTTAATATTGCCAAATAAGCAAAGAAAATTAGTAGGTAAACATCTACGTTGGAAATACACTTGGAACAAATAATGGTTAAACGGGGTAAAATCCTAACTATATGAAAAGTTTTTATAAATCAATAAGAGAAAAACTAATATCAAATTGGAAAATGGGCAGAAGAAATAAAAGTAATAAACAGAAAATTCACAGAAGATATCAAATGCCAATAAACATATAAAAATTCAACTTCACAAGCAAACTAAAATTAAAATGACAAAGAGATAGCATTTCTTGTAACCTATATAATTGATAAAAATTTGGTGCATTGAGACTGAAAGCTCAAGCACATCTAATGGGAGTACAGAATATAACAACCTTTGTGGAAAGCACTTTGGTAATCTAAATTAAAGCTTAAAAGAATGCACAGTACAAATATATATTTTTAAATACTCAGAGATGTAGGTAAAAATTATGTACAAAAATAAACATTATAATATTATTTATACTAGCAATTGAAAGCAACTGCAATGCCTCAAATGGAGAAATAGGTAGTTTGTGGTACAGTCTTATGATGGAATATTAGTGCAGCCATTTAAAACATATTTCTAAACAACATCTAATGTCTTGATAAAAAGTTTGTGATGATATTAATTGAAGAATCAGAATACAAAACTCTGCATATTATGATACCAATTTTATAAATCTGTAAACTATACATGCATAGGAGAAAAAAGGGAAGAAAATACAATAAAAGGTTAACAATGATTATATCTGGGGAAAGGAATATGGATAACTTATATTTAATTCTTTACATTTTGAGGCATTTTTCAGATGTTCTATAGTGAACATATTGTTACTTTAATAAGGAGACACAAAAAATAAATGTTATTTCAAAACCTATGACTAACAGATATTTTTAAAATATAACATCAAATGATGAAAGAATTTCAGAAACAAAGCAATTTAAAAAAATTTTTTTAATCAATAAATTTTTGTATACATAAACAGCAGATACTTTTTATAACTTGAAATTGTCTTCACATGGCCAACACCACCATTAAAAGTCTTAAAATGAAGAAAGTAATATCTAACTATTAAATGTTTATTCAGAAATACAACCTAAAAAGAAAATTATCTAATCAATTACAGCTAAATGTGTGATTAGAGAACTTACCTTTTTCACTTACACTCTCACTTTCAATCTCAACATCATCACAACTTGTATATTCAGGTGTGGAAGCCAGTTCCTCCTCTGAACTGCTCAATGAAACCTGGCGCATTTTTCCTCCCTTCTTTGATTTATGAGGCTTCGGTGGTGGTGGTCTCACTGATTCTGACTGGTCTGAACTGAGTGAATCATTCCTTAACATCGTTTCCATTTTTTCCCGTTTTGTTTTCCTTACAGCAGAGCTGGGATCTAAGTGATGTTGTTTCCTTAGTGAGTCAGCTCGCCTCATGTCTGGCCTATCGATGGGTATTGGACTCCTTCGGGGAGTGGGAGGACTATGGTTTGTGGTCCTTTGTGGATAACAACTTTGTCCCTGAGCCTCTCGAGTTCGTTCCATCGAATAAGATCGCTGATTTTCCAGGACAGCTCTACGTTCAGATATAGATCTTTGCCTTGATGGTCGGTCCATCCTTATCATAGAAATTCTGGAATCTTCCAGTTCAGCATTTGCCAAAGAAACATCACTATGCCTTCTCTCATGCCGCGCTCGGGACACTTCGGCATGGATACGCATTTGTTCTTCATAGGGTTGTGGCTTTACCGGATAACGGGCCAAATTCGGATCACTTCGGTAGCGTGCTTGGTACTCCTCCTCTCTCCTTTGTCTTTCATATTCATCTCTGCTCTCCACATCCCCGGCATCTACAACATATTCTCTGGAATGCCTATGACTTCTCCTGTTGGAGTCCCTATAGTTTAAATCATCAGATTCTTCATAAAACTGAGGTTCTCGTTGAGAGCGCCTATCAGCATAATCTGATGGAGATCGAGGCATTGCGCTATCCGAAGTGGCATACTGTGAATATTCCTCTCTCTCTTCCCTTTGGTCGTATCGTCTGTTCTGATCTCTGGACACTGATGGACTTCTTTTCCTAAATAACCAAAGGTAAACAACAATGAGAAGAGCAACATTTAAACAATTTGACATTTTATTGATTTCTTTTTTTCATTTCATTTTAGAGACATGCCCTCACTAAAGTTTTAGTAATTATTCATTTTACTTAGTTTAATAGGTAATTTTAAAAGTACTTTTGTTGTGGTTATTAAATGCCTAATACGGTATATACGAAATATACTTATAATCCAAAATTAAATAACCGACATCATATTCTGCTGCTCTAAAATAGCCTTTATTTCAATGTCCTTTCTTGGCTTACTACAATTCAGCTATCCCCCAACTGTTATTCATTAACTTAGAAAAATTCCTCCTTCCATTCTCTCTATCCCTAACAACTTGATGTGAGAGTTAGCTGGAAATGTAATGAAGCCAAATAGAGTTAGCTCAAGAATTGAATACTTTCTGACTAAAACTAACTGCCAGCTTTAAAAATCATTTTTCATTCTTCATCTACCTAGATCACTCCTAGTATTGATTCATTAAAATCTTCATCCTGTCATTGTGTCTCCAACCTATATTTACTGATCTAACTTGAGATAAGCAATTTAAATAAATACCAACAAGAATGATGAATTCATCCCCAAAACCCACAAGTCAGAAAGGAATGCTATTTTTATTCCATCTTTATTAAGATTAAGGCCAGCTTGGTGATTCTTCTCTACTCAGTCTTCACATCTGAAGCCTCATATTTCCTTACAGTCTCAGGGAAGAGACTGCTTACTAAATTCTCAATTTGCCCCCTAACACTGGAATAACCTAGTGGACCTTGCAAGCACACAAAATACTCTGTCAACAAAATATTCACTGTCTTATCCTCTCGCATGATCTCAGATAATGTCAACCACCAGCCATGAGAAGAAATGGGACTGAAATCCTGAAAATAACAGAAAAATTTTAGAATAACTGCTATGAGGACTTTGCCAGAACATGAACAGGAGATAATGAAAGAGTGGGACCAGTTGAAGTAAAAGATAACCAAGATTCAACAGCTCGGTTGTAAATTTCTTAGAGAATATTTTTTAACCCAAAAGCAAGAGCAGAGAAAGGATAGAGTAGAATGACCCACCCTAGCAAAATCATCACTCTCCTCTAAAGTTTCCACTGTGTCACTAAATCTTTTTTTCCTTCATATCTGGAATACAGTCTGTCAATGGATCTATCAATTACGGTTCACTAACAAAAAGAGAAGTCATTCCAGATTTTCCAGGTAGGAAAGGTTTTTAATACAGGAACTAGAAGCTACACAACTGTTGAACAGGCTAGAGGAATGAAGGCCATGGAAGTTAATGCTATTGATCTTAGCTTGAAGAACCAAAGACAAAGGTTCTTAAAATGAACACTAGGGAGCTGCTGTGAATCTTTGGGAAATTCCCAAATTATCTCAGCTGCCTACAGCAACAGGGTGGCCAATTAACAGGAGCTTGTCCAGGACTCACTAAGACTTTCACATCTGCCCATCTGCCTGCCAATGACAACTGCTTAACAATAACAGCTTCTGAATCTCTTCCACCTTTCACATATCAGGTAAACTTTAACCTGAAACTACAGAGAGAAAACTATTGTAGTAAATGAAGGAACTGGTCTGTCCTGTACATGTTTCATAATTAAACAAGTAGATGTGATTTTTTTTAGCATTAACGTTTAAATATAAAACATGTAGGACTTAATCACAAATCTTTTAGGTTACAATTGTTACATAAATGCATAGACTCCTATAGTTTAAAATTTACAATCAAAACAGGGGACCCAAAATAAATATTATAGTAATCTATACATCCTCTGTGTGTGTGTTATATACCATTCACTTTACTTTTGTCATTATTTTTATACAAATAAGTAAAAGAAATCCTCTGTAATGGTAATAGTGTATCATGAAAAGAATGCTAGATTTAAGGGATCTGCATTTCTTAGTCCTACGTTTGCTATTAACCAGTTATTTGAACATATATAAGCCATTTAATCTTTGGGAGCCTGTGCTTTAAAATGAGAGGCACAGATTATACAAAGTAACTCATACATTATTTTAACAAACATGTATTAAGTAAGAACTAAATGCCACACACTTTAATAATTTAGACTAGGAATACAGAAATGAGTAAGACATGATCTTTGATCTTAAGAAGCTGAATGATTCTAAAATCCTCTTCCAATTCTTAAAGACTATGATCTTATAATATTGACATCATAACTTCATCAAGCTAATATGCCTAGATGAAAGCTAAACACATTAAGAATTTCCAGTAATATACTAAACATCACACTAGGTACTGTAGGATAGAAGCAGAAAAAAGAAAAGGAACACTTCATTCCTATGCTGAGGAATAAACAAGAACTTTTGAAAGCAAGCAGATTATAAGTAAAGTGAATATTGTGAGTATAACAGAGAATTATATTTTATTTTATTGATAAATAAAATATTTACTTCCTATTATAGAACTCAGTTCCAAAAGAAAGACTATTAATAATTAGTCCCAAGCAAGTCAAGTGCCTTTTAACAATCATACCTTAGGAAAATTGAGTTCAATATTAAATCCAACAATCACTTTGTTCTAAAGATTATGAAATCTGCCTGAAGCATGTGAATCATACTGTAGATACTGATTTGTACTGGATTTGAGTAAAAATAGAACAGTGGTTATAATCTGAAATTAGGATGACTATTGTCACTGTTATTTAACATGGAAAGGTTTTAAAAATACACTTTAAGGTACAGTACCTTACAGTACATTAAAGCTACGCTAGAAGCAAGGCAAGACTTCATTTTAAGACTACTCCTATCAAACAATGAAGAATCTGCTATTAATTACTTCAAAATACTAAAATATTCTCAAGAAACTTTATTAATTGTATCATGAATTATTTCACATACACCCTCCTTCAAATTTTAAAACTTCTATAAAATATTCTTTTCAGATACTGAAGAAAATCCATGAAAATTCAAATGCTATATCTCTCATTTCTATCTTCGTTATTGGCCTTTACAAATGAGCCTTAGCTTTTATTATTATCAGGTGGATACCATTTTAAAAATTTTAAAGAATATAATGATAATTCAAACACTTCCCTAAAGAATCATAAAGCATTTAACAGTATTTAACCCATAAATTATAAAAAGGAATGGAGCAATCTAGGATGTTAAATTTTACTTAATCCTTCAAAGACCCTAAGAAATTAAGAGGCAGAATCCAAAATTATGTTCTTCTTTAGAATAAAATGATTTCTGACTTAATATGGTGCCTTAATTTTTACTCTTATGCATTCTATTAATCTCTCATTTCGATATAACAATATCAGCATATAATTATATTCAATTTATTTTTACATAATACCTATTCATCTTACTTCTCTCTACTGAAAGTATGTTCTTACAATTATTTTCTTTCACCATATTACAGTGGTCTTAAGTGGAACCAGTTTATAGAAAATCACATTTTAAATAACCTTAATCTACCTTAATAAGTATCATTTCTATTCATTGCTTACAATTTTTTGTTAAATGCACTAATTATTCAATATATTTCTAAATATTCTAACTGTATAACATAGCTGATGCTCCATTTTAAACATTATTCAGACTAGGCATGATCGTTTGAATAAGAAACCCCACCAATTAGACTCTTTAAAATTCCATGTCCAAAAATCATACTGACTGATGGGAAAACTCCAAATAAGAAGCCTCTTTCCCAATTAAAGTCAATTTACTAATTTCTCAAAGGCAGTCAGTTTACATACTGTATATCAATTCATCATGTTTTTACCATAATTTCCATTTTAACATTTACAATCTTTTACCATCTTATGAGGTTTGTGTTATTATACCACCTAAAATACTGACCATATATGCTACAAAATACTCAGTAAGTCTCTGAAAATATAATCCAGTAAACATTTGAAAATATTTAAAATACAGTGAAAGTCTGCAAAATTTAATGAATATTTAAGTTTAAATATTTATATATTTTTCACTCAACTGAAGACATGCAATTTTTAAGAATCATAATGATGGTGAAAGAGTGAAAAATTTGAAGATTGCTGATTTCTGTAAATTCAGATTTTATGTTCTTAGAATTAAGCACAACCTGTACAAAAATCTCTTACTCATAATCTTTGTTAGTAGAAATCATTTAAAATTGCCATTCTGTAAATAAAAGGATATAAACGACCTTTGAAAAATCAATAATCTGAAAACAACGTCCATCTTTTTAAAAGCTTTATAAATCATGGATATTGCTAAATAAACTAAAATAATACTTCATTAATACAATTACACAATGTTAACCATATAGTTTAAACATGATCAAATTCTACAATTTAAAGTTATTAAAACACATTAAATCAAGGATTAAACAGAAGTACACAACTTGTAAAACACAAAATATATAGGTTTCACTCCTACAATTTCTACAAAAAGCTTTTAACAAACCAAACAATGTATATTTCTCCAAAACCATAAAATAGATTAATCTTTTTTTACATATCACAATTAATATTTAACATATTTTTGTTTTACCTTTTTTTCAACCAAAGCACATCTGTCGAGCATGAGGCATCATGTTGACAAAAATACATCAACATTTTGCCAGGCAGTGCTTTCATTTAATCCTTCTAGCCCTAGCAAAATCATAGAAGCCATCGTTAATCAGATGATTTGAAAGTCTCTACTTCCTTACAATCATTTTATTTCAAAACTCAATTACTAAAGTTACCCATAAAACAACACTCATTCAAGGAGAGAGTCATAAAGTCCTCTAGTGGGCCTGTTAAGGAAAAGGTTATTCTTTAATGCTGTTACTATGTGGCTGTATATAGCTCCAGGTCAAGTAAGAATGTACCCTGTAAGGAGGATTACGGTACTTAGCTGATTATTTCCTCACAGTACTGCACACCAAATGCAACCTACATCCAAGGCATTTCTGGGCACTATACTTAAAACTGGCAGATTTAGAAATCTGTAAACTACATTCTTCTATATGA